AAATGAACATATTTTCGAGTTAGTGGTAATAACAGAAAAATAAATCTCATTTTTTCCTTTAATATTACACAATTAAAGTGAAGTTACAGTAACTATAACTATTTTCTTAAACTTTCAAAATGATTAGATCATTATTCAAATGCTCTTGTCGTGTTTATAAGACTTTATCAAGGTCATTCGCACTGTTAACCCTCTGGCCCCAGGTTTACTTACTGTAGATTTTTTGGTGAAATTGTTGCACACAGATGGCTCCACAAGTGCTCAGCCTCCATGGAGTCAATTAATAGGCTCTAGTGACTGTGCCTAGTTCCCCCATGCCTTGAATTCGCATTTTTTTTTTTCTAATGCTATGAAAATTTATAATGTTATTATCATTGACATTATGATTTTCATGTTATAAAAATCATAATGAATTACTAATAACAACAAAAATAACAAATAAAATAATACCTTTACAAAAATCAAATAAAAGGGTAAACAGGTGAGATAAGTATGACTAAGCACCTGTGGAGCCAAACAATAAACTAAAATTAGAATGAACATAAACAGGGGCACTGGGTTAATATTACTATGATCATCCTCCATGCCAATATTCTTTTCACGTAAAACAAATACAAACCCCATAAATTTCAGTTCATTTCCTCTCTTCCTAAATAGCTGAGACTATAATGCTAAATGTACATGGCTTGTATAAGCAAGAAAAGTGTACATGATGGCAGGAAGCTTCAGTACTCACACCAAGTATTTCATCAGTGCCACACACACACTAATAAACAGTGAATAGCCCCAAACAGATTAAATGTACATTTTCCATCATAAAACTAAAGTCATTTGTGATGAAATGACCCAGCAGTGGTTGTTATGTGCTTTTTATTTCACAAACTGACAACAAATCTGACCACTAAAGTCGTCTGTGCAAGCCTTTTTTTTATATAAATTAGGTTGACTGTGCTGCTATGTCAGTTGCACCAGATCATGCCACCTTCCCCTAACTTCCAAATCCCTATTATGTATGCCTTAAGGTTACCTATATGAGCAAAGACTTTTACTGTCTAGACTCTTACATCCGATCAAACACTGTAACAGAACACATCATTGGTCTTGACAGAGAGCCTCTTCATTTGCAAATCCATACTCAAGAACCATCTTCCACCTCAAAATCAACAAAATGCATCCAAACTCTTCCTACTACGTGGATTCTAGATTACCCGCAATAACATTTTTTGGACATTTTCTATAACCCTAACGACTCTCACGATTATTCTAACTTGTTCGCTTTATCCTGGACATCTCTTAACTGTTTCTCGTAAATCTTTTTTGAATCGCAGAAACCCATCCTCGTCTTGCCAAAGCTGTTTGGCCCTGCAGATGTTGGTGTGTCTCTGAGGATATATAAAAAGAAAAAAATGTTTATCTTTATCCTTATAGTAGGAGGGAAACAAAAAGGTCTTAAAAACATGATATTCCTTGTGTTCTGTTATGCCCTATCAACCTTTTTTTTTTTCTTTCTAGTTTTTCTTTCATAAAACTTTAGTTATCAAACCTATATTTCCAAGGCAGCCAATAAATATTCTCTTTTTGACAAACTACCTTGCAAAGGTGATGAATTATACATCTATCATCTGAAAAAATTAAACAATGAAAAAAAAAAAAAAAAAATCTATACATATACTTGTTTCACACATCTGACAATATCAATTGTATTTGATTAAAAGAACAAAAGAATATGGAAAAAACGACCACTCATTAAGAGAGAAAAATAAATAAACATAATTTTTTCAATATTCCCAATATTCTCATTTTTGATAGGCTACCTTCCAAATCTGATGAATTACATATTTAAAGGTTAAAAGGAATTGTCCCTAGCAATAAAAGGTATAAACTTCTCTACATACTAATTCTTATTATTGTTCCCTAAATCAAATCAAAACTACATACTTCTATGTAATTACATGTATTGACAGTAGGAACACCTTCAAATTTTATTTTTCCTTGCACTAAATGGAAATTCAGTGTAAATAATACAACCTATGAAAGTATCTAATGATAGCATTTCCATCATAACAAAATACATAGGTTAAATATTTCTATGAAAATATGATGGAGGGAGGGGTAAGGTTGGCAAGAAAAGGAGAGGAGAGGAGAGGAGAGGAGAGGAGAGGAGAGAAGAGAAGAGAAGAGAAGACAAGAGAAAAGAAAGGAAAAAAAAAGAAAAAGAAAAAAAAAAAAGGGGGGGAAAAAAGATAAAATAAGAGTGAAAAGGCATTTCAATATCATTTTGACCTCTCCCCCTAAAGCCCTATCAGTGTATACAGTTTCCCCCCCTACAGCACTGTCCTGTGGCTTAGTACATGTCCCCAACATACTCTTAAACATGGTACCATCTTTTTGACTGACATTATATCCCAATCATTATCTGAACAACTAATTCTCAAAACCCTTCCCTGCAATGTAAACAGTACAGAAAGGAACTCGGGCATCCTGAGACACTTCATATCCA